GTAGGTCCGAAAGGTTGGCAACCACTGCTCTAGGCAATTTACTTAATCTCTCTGTGCTTCAGTTTTCTCACTGTTAACCATAGTATGTACTTAACAGTGTTGTTATGAGAGTTAAATGTGTGTGTGTGTGTGTGTGTGTGTGTATGGCTCAGAAAAGTGCCCGAGATATACCAAGTCCTCAGTACATGTCAAACATCATTATTACTGATCTATACTGGATCCTAGTTTCTAACCACTAAAGAGGAAAAATCATTCAGATGCAATACACTAAGTTAGATACACCGACTTTTCCTAGAGGAGTTAACTATGCTTTATTTATTTCTACTTGCATTCATTAAAGTAAAATGATTTTTACTAGTAAATAATATAGAACCTTGTAAAACTATAAACAAAATAAAACTGAACTACAAAACCCTAGAAGCATAGATCTTACAAAGATGAGAACATTTTAGAGATGGAGGGTAAAGAAGTAGGGAAAGCAGGGGAAAGAAGTAGGGAGTTTTGTATTTAGAGAAGTTGGAGCCAGGAAGAGCTGTCTGCTTTCTTCTCAAAAAGCAGCCTAGAATGCATGTAAATAAACAAGCAGCCAAGAAGCAAGTCAACAAGATTTAGAGACGTAGGGCCTGCATTTGAAGTAATTGTGTCAAGCAAAATGCACTGTGGTTTAACTCTTACCCTGCAGGTAGTTGGTGTTCTCCACACTGGGCACCAGGACTTACCACCCGACTCCTTTAAGCTCACATAGTGGCCATGCTACAAAATGACTCAGATTTTCCTTAATCTGACCTTTTGTGTTGCTTTAACTTCATCCTTTGATCATCTGTTTACTTCAAAGGCTTCAATTAAATTTAAACATACACACACTTATTTAAGTATTTATGCCATCTCTATGCTAGTCATTGTACTATAATGAACAAAAAAAAAACCCTGTTTTTTGACTTCATGTACAAGTACAGCTTTGATAAGTTCCACAAAGAGACACATGATGTGAGAAGATATAATAGGAGGAAGTAACATTTGAAGAAAGCTCTGGGACAGAGTAGGGATGACCTGGGCTGGAGAAAGGGGGAGCACTGCTCCCAGGGGCTGACGCAGCATATTAGAAAGTTCTAGGGCGTAGGGAGCATGGTACCAGAAGGGAGGAAACAGAGGCTCATGAGGCTGCATGAGAGAGAGAGAGAGAGGATGTGATGGAAGAGAGTTAGAAAGGGGCTAGAACATGCAGGGCCTTCAAGGAATGGAAGGCTGGAAGGGTTTTGGAACAATCACTTTGGTAGTAGATGGAGGAGCAAATTGAGGGAAAGCAAGAGTGGATGAGGGAGATGAGTTAGAAGACCACTGCAGCAGTCAGGTGAGATGTGAAGGTAGCTTGGTCTAGGGTGGTGGCAGAAGAGATGGAAGAAGAAGAAAAGAATGGATTCAGGAGGTATTTTAGAACAGTGGTTGCCAACCGGTGGGCCACGGGCCACTGGTGGTCCGTGAGATCCAAAAGGTTGGCGACCACTGGTTTAGAAACCAAAACATTAAGGACCTGGTGATGGATTTGAAGTGTGGGGTAAAGGGACAAGAGAAAGACTTGTCAAGGATGATTCCTAGGTTGCTGGCTGTCCACATCGATGAAGTGTTCTTCCCTAAGATAACACTAGAACAGGAACCTGTTTGCTGAAGAAGCATGGGAGTTCCATTGTGGACGTGCTGAGATGCCTCTGAATCAAGCATGTCAAACTCAAAGGCTAACACGGGCCAAATAAGGCATGCGGCCCGAGGGCCGAGAGTTTGACATGCTCGCTCTGAATATTCTGAGAGGAGATGCCGCATTCGGAGCTGTGCTTATGGGTCTGAGCTTGAGAAGAGGTCTGGGCTGAAGCTGTACACTGCGAGTCATCCTTACATGAATGGCAATTGTAGCCATGGTGTGGGTGGAGTCACCTGTTTAGAGCAGTGCTGCCCCATAGAAATATAATGCTAGCTATATATGTAATTGCAAATTTTCTAGTGGCCACATTAGAAAAGGGGGGAAAAGCCCAGCCAGCATGGCTCAGTGGTTGAGGGTCGACCTATGAACCAGGAGGTCATGGTTCAATTCCTGGTCAGGGCACATGCCTGGGTTGGGGGTGTGCAGGAGGCAGCCAATCAATGACTCATCATTGATGTTTCTATCTCTCTCCCTTCTGCTCTGAAATCAATAAAAAATATATTAAAAAAGAAAAGAAAAAAAAGCAGGTGAAATTAATTCTATTTTTAATCCAGAATATAAAAAATACTGTCATTTCTATAGGTCATCAATATTAAAAACTAAAATATTTTAAATTTCCAATTGAAAATTTATTTATACAAAAATTTCTTGGAAATTAAGTATTATTTTAGCCCTAGCCGGTTTGGCTTAGTGGGTAGAGCGTCAGCCTTCGGACTGGAGGGTCCCAGGTTCGATTCCAGTTAAGGGCACATGCCCAGGTTGCAGGCTCGATCCCATTGTGGGGCATGCAGGAGGCAGCCAGTCAATGATTCTCTCTCATCATTGATGTTTCTCTCTCTCTCCCTCTCCCTTCCTCTCTGAAATCAATAAAAACATATTTTTTAAAAAGTATTATTTTACATAGCCCATGTCTCAGCTGGGACTCGCCACATTGCAAGTGCTCAGTAATCATCCATACATGTTTCTTATTTTGAACAATGTAGGAGAGAGACAAAATCAAGAGAAAAGAAGGAAAGGCCTTGAGGTTGAACATTAAGGGATCTGACCATTAATTTTATTGGTCAGGAAGAGGAGGGTGAGCTTCATTTTTGTTGTTGTTGATCCTCACCGGAGGATATTTTTTCCAATGGTTTTTAGAGAGAGTAGAGGGAGGGACGGGGAGTGGGGGAAAGAGAGAGAGAGAGAGAGAGAGAGAGAAACTTGGATCTGAGAGAGACACATCGATTGGTTGCCTCCCGCATGTGCCCTGATTGGGCCAGGGATTGAATCTGCAACCCAGGTACATGCCTTTGATGGAAAATCGAACCCTTGACCTCGACCCTTCAGTGCGCAGGCTGATGCTCCCACACTGGCCAGGGCTTACTCTATTTTTAAACCATTTTAGTTATATATGTGGGGTTTTTTTTGCCCCAGGAGGTAGAAGAGAGAACTTTTAACTACAAAGTTAGATTTAACTCTATCTTCACTTTAATGTCTTTAAAATACCTAGAGTACTTCTCTGTACTATATTTCTCTAAATAACTTATCTGTAGCATAAACATCATATCGTTAATCTTAATGACATGTCTGAAATATTTTTAGGATTTATATTAGTTTTACTCTGTTAAAATCTAATAACGTATTACATGTATATACTGTCTCACAGTGTTCAAAGTTCTTTCCTATGTATTTATCTTATCTGAAGGAAAAACTATAAATGAGTTTGAGCCCAGAAGAGGAATTGATATGTCCTGGCCATTGTGCTCAGTTTGCTGCAGTGTCATCCCATAAACCAGAAGGTGGTGGATTCGATCCCCAGTCAGGGTGCATACAGGAGGCAACCAATCGATGTTTTATCTCTCCACTCAAATAAAAAAATAAATAGTAATAAAAGTATATAAATGGTTAATCTATTTAAATACTTCTTCCAAATTTCTTGTGTTTTTAATATAATTGAAATACAGTTTCTCAGAGAAAAGGTGGGGGAGGGTGGGTGGGTGGGAAGTAATCAAAAAGCTTGTATGCATATATGCATAACCCATGAGCACAGAAAATAGGGTGCTGAAGGCCTAGGGCAGGGGAGCCTGGGGGTGGGCTGGAGCCAGCTAGAGGGGTCAAAGGTGGGGAAAGGTGGGGGAAGGGGGAAAGGGGAACATATGTAAAAAAAAAAAAATACAATTAGAAGAAATCTTCTAAAAGATGCTTAAGATTATAGTATGTCCCTAAACCAAGCTAGGAACTAAGAGTTCTCTCTTTTTTACTCTTCAGTTTGCTCTAATATTATTTGGCAGCAGGAAATCAGTACCCTACTTACCCATAATTATTTTTTCTTCCAGGACAACATAGGAGAACTTGATCTTGATAAACAATCTGAACTGAGAGCTTTAAGGAAAAAAGAACTCGATGAGGAAGAAAGCGTCAGGAAGAAAGCTGTGCAGTTTGGAACCGGTGAGCTCTGTGATGCCATCTCTGCGGTGGAAGAGAAAGTGAGCTACCTGAGACCTTTAGATTTTGAAGAAGCCAGAGGGCTTTTCTTAGTGGGTCAGCACTATGTCTCTGAAGCAAAAGAGTTCTTTCAGATTGATGGCTATGTCACTGACCATATTGAAGTTGTCCAAGACCACAGTGCTCTGTTTAAAGTGCTTGCGTTCTTTGAAACTGACATGGAGAGACGTTGCAAGATGCATAAACGTAGAATAGCCATGCTAGAGCCCCTAATTGTGGATCTGAACCCACAGTATTATCTGTTGGTCAACAGACAGATTCAGTTTGAAATTGCACATGCTTACTATGATATGATGGATTTGAAGGTTGCCATTGCTGACAAGCTGAGGGATCCTGATTCACACATCGTAAAAAAAATAAATAATCTTAATAAGTCAGCAATGAAGTACTACCAGCTCTTCCTAGACTCCCTGAGAGACCCAAATAAAGTGTTTCCTGAGCATATAGGGGAAGACGTGCTTCGCCCTGCCATGTTGGCTAAGTTTCGAGTTGCTCGTCTCTATGGCAAAATCATCACTTCAGATCCCCAAAAAGAGCTAGAAAATTTGGCAACATCCTTGGAACATTACAAATTTATTGTTGATTACTGTGAAAAGCACCCCGAAGCTGCTCAGGAAATAGAAGTGGAGCTAGAACTTAGTAAAGAGATGGTGAGTCTTCTTCCAACAAAAATGGAGAGATTCAGAACCAAGATGGCCCTGACTTAATAAACTTCATTTTTAATGAAAGAAAATGTGCAATATTGAAGATATTTTTTCCCCTTAGTCAAACGGGCCCAATTCCATTGTTATATTTACTTTTATAGCCAGAGGAGTGCAGTTCGAACTTGAGATACAGTCAGACCAATGTAGTCTTTACTAGGACCTTAATCAACATAAATGTAATTAATAATTTATATCTAATTATGTAGATTGACTTGTTAAAGTGACATGTGATTGGTATTTTAGAGTGTATGTTCCCTATTTAAATATAAACTTTTCCTGCCTCATTTTCTAAAGGTAGGTTCTTCGTTGTCTAGTACCTGATGGATCCTTTGAGAGGAAAAATGCTGGTTAATATATCTTGTAGACCAACCTATTATTAAAATTGAAAAAGTAACTTCCTGTAATACTTTCAACAATAAAGATTAAGAGAAAAAGAAAGAAAAGTAACTTCCTATAGTTATTTTTTCCCAAATGTTTACTTTCCTAAATTCCCAAAGAAATCTTTTCGTTTTGAAAATATTAAAAAACTAAGTTATGTTGTTTTATTTTTTATTTTATTTTATTTTTTTTAATATATTTTATTGATTTTTTACAGAGAGGAAGGGAGAGAGAGATAGAGAGTTAGAAACATCGATGAGAGAAACATCGACCAGCCGCCTCCTGCACATCTCCTACTGGGGATGTGCCCGCAACCCAGGTACATGCCCTTGACCGGAATCGAACCTGGGACCTTTCAGTCCGCAGGCCGACGCTCTATCCACTGAGCCAAACCGGTTTCGGCAGTTATGTTGTTTTAAAGTATTGTAGTTTGTCTCATCTATAGGGGATAAAAGCCTTGTTGGAAATATAAATGTACTTATTTCACTAATAAAAACTTCCGTTTACTCTTGTTTTCTTGTAAGAATTTGAGTTTTGCAACTTCAAAGGTATTGCCTTATTTGAAGCCAAAGAATATTTCTTCAGTAACACTGCACAGATAGAGACATTAAAATCTCAGTCATTGAATAAATACTTACTATAGTACTACTTAGTCCAAAAATTCTTAATTGGCTGCAGTTTTTCATCAGAGGATCCTGGTATATTTTATAAACCTTTGAGCACTGTTAGAAAAGAATATGTACTTCATAATATTGTTAATACATGTGAGTTATTTTAAGAAATGAAGACCCTTTACAGTGCAGAAGTCAAGATTAGTGGTAAAATTTGATACAGAGAATAGTTGCGTATGTTGCTTGCCTATTAAATTGCTTTGGAAAGCTTAGGACTAGGTCACCTCTAAGGTTCTGTAACATTTTAAAAAAAAATTTCTTTATTGATTTCAGAGAGGAAAGGAGGAGAGATAGAAACATCAATGATGAGAGAGAATCATCGATTGGCTGCCTCCTACACACCCCCTACTAGGGATAGAGCCCGCAACTCAGGCATGTGCCCCTGGCCGGAATCAAACCTGGGACCCTTCAGTCCACAGGCTGACGCTTTATCCACTGAGCCAAGCCGTCTAGGACGGGTTCTGTAACATGTATGTATGTGTAACAATGTCTGCCACGGGACAAGCATTGTTCTCACTCTTCTAAGTATAGAAGATACAGTGATGAACAAGGTAAACATGGTCCTGCCCTCATGGAGGAAGTGAACAAGCAAGCAAGCTGATTTCAGGTTATGAGTGCTCTTCAGAAAGGGGCCAGGGTGATGTGGTAAACATTTGATTGGAAGGGGTACCCAGCTGCAGTGACCTGGGAAGGCCTCTGAGAAGGTGGGAGTGGACCCTGCACTGAGAACTAGATGGGAAAAGAGGCAGCAAAGAAGGAGCTTGTACCTGCGCCGCCTCTGAGCCGAAAGCCGAAAAAAGCAGATCAGGAAGTTTGTGTTTTTTTTAATATTTCATTGATTTTTTATAGAGAAGAAGGGAGAGGGATAGAGAGTTAGAAACATCGATGAGAGAGATCGATCCGCTGCCTCCTGCACACCCTCTACTGGGGATGTGCCCGCAACCAAGGTACATGCCCTTGACCGGAATCGAACCTGGGACCTTTCAGTCTGCAGGCAGACGCTCTATCCACTGAGCCAACCCGGTTCGGTGTCAGGAAGTTTTTAAGGGAGATGTGGAGTTAAAGTTTAAGAGTTCTGTTAGGTCCTACTGAGTTTAGATGCTGGAGACGAGATGCTTGCTCGTAACATCTCTTAGTCAGACTTCGGAAGGAAAGGGACGAGGATCGTGAGGAGGCAAAGAGGAGAGGCGGCTTCTTGGGCTCAGTGAGGCTCCCACGCACCACAGCCGTTCCTGATGGAGCCGTTTTGTTGCCAACCTCATGGAACGTCAAAACTTACATAGTCATTCATTCGTTTAACAAATACTGAGCTCTTCCTGTGTGCAAGTCCTCTGCTAAGCTCTGAGAATATGGTCTGTAAGTGCCGGCCTCTGAAATCTTGATAGCTTTTCTTCTTCCCAGCCGTGTTATTCAGAAGATAACATGCAAGTATAACAGGCACTGGTCTTAAAACCAGTTTTTATCCTGACACCCATCAGCATACTCTGCTATTTGTCACTTGCTGTCTGTAGGGACTTTTCACGTTTTCAGACTTTGTCTTGGTTATCAGCAGAAAATCTCACTGGCGGCTTTGCAATGCTGCACTCTCCCCGAGCCTGTCCCACAGCTGCCTGCCTGAGCATGGCTTCCCGCCAGCTGCCACGGAGGCGTCGCTGCTTCTCTTGATTTTAGTAGTTGTCAAGCTTTTGGTCTCAAACCTCCTTTGCACTTAAAATTGAGAATGCCAAAGAGCTTTTGTGTATGCAGGTTATATTTTTTTGTATTTATCCTATTTGAAATTCAAATTAAGAAAATTTTCAACAATTTACCTTAAAATGACAATAATAAACCCATTGGATTTAAACAATCATTATAAAAAAGATTTCCCCCCAGAAAAGAGTGGCATAATTTACATTTTTGCAAATATCTTTTTGGTTAATCCTTACCCAAGGATATTTTTTTCTATTGATTTTTATTTTGTTTACTTATTTAAATATATTTTTATTGATTTCAGAGAGGAAGGGAGGGAGAGAGAGAAATATCAATGATGAGAGGGAATCACTGATCAGCTGCCTCCTACATGCCCCCACTGGGGATTGAGCCTGCAACCCAGGCATGTGCCCTTGACAGGAATCAAACACGGGACCCTTGTAGGGCTTTTCTGTTTATTTTTAGGGAGTGTGAGGCAGGGAGGGAAGGAGGGAGGGGTGGGGAGAGAGAATGAGAGAGAAACATCGATGTGAGAGAGACACATCAGTTGGTTTCCTCCTGCACTCTTCCTGATGACTGGGGTCAGGCATCAAACCTGCAACCCAGAAACATACCGGTGACCATACGTGCCCTTGACCGAGGATCAAACCCTCGACCCTTCAGTGCATGGACAGATGCTCTAACCCAGCCGTGGGCAAACTACGGCCTGCGGGCCGGATCTGGCCCGTTTTGAAATGAACTAAAAAAAAAAAAAAAGACCGTACCCTTTTATGTAATGATGTTTACTTTGAATTTATATTAGTTCACACAAACACTCCATCCATGCTTTTGTTCCGGCCCTCCGGTCCAGTTTAAGAACCCATTGTGGCCCTCGAGTCAAAAAGTTTGCCCACCCCTGCTCTAACCACTTAGAAACAGGCCAGAGCACATTTTTGCAAATATCTTTATGGCTAAACAGGAAGCAGGTCGATTTTCATAACTGGAATGCTAGCATGTCATGTAGACTTTGGGAAACTCCACTGTACTACATTTGTGAGAGAATGAGGGTGCAATGTCATCTGGTTACGAAATAGGTTCATTGCGATCCTCTGTCCCGCTCGGCGGTTTCCTGGGAGGCTTTTCGAGCTGGTGCCCTATCCTAGCGCATTCTGCTGGGCATGATGTAGAGCAGATGCTGTTGAAGGTTGGCTTAGGAAACTTAAATCAGCGGTGGCTGGTCTAGGTCTCACATCCAAAGGAGAAATTGAAACCGTTTATTCTTTACCACACATTGGTTTTGGATGAGTCTGGAGTCAGGGCAGTGTCATCTCTTTGTTATTTTATCACAGGATATGTTGGGTTTCTTGGCAGCACTGGATTCTTTTATCGTTGTTTTATCTACTTGAACTCTGACAAAGCTGAGTCGTGTGTTTTTTCATCCCTAATATAGTGAACCCTCGATTTTGTGGACCGTGACTTAATGGACTTCGGATTTAATGGACAAAATTTCCAGTCCGTATGTCATGTGAAAATTAACACCCTGTTTTTTAAAAATGCATTTAACCAAGATTTGCTTGTAATTAAATTAACAGGTTATTATTATTTTTTAAAATATATTTTATTGATTTTTTACAGAGAGGAGAGGAGAGGGATAGAGAGTTAGAAACATTGATGAGAGAGAAACATCGATCAGCTGCCTCCTGCACACTCCCTACTGGGTATGTGCCCGCAACCAAGGTACATGCCCTTGACTGGAATCGAACCTGGGACCCTTTGGCTCTATCCACTGAGCCAAACCGGTTAGGGCTTAACAGGTTATTTTTAACAAATTGTAGTGAAATGGCCATATGTTGGGAAAAAACTAGTAATTTTGCCAATATAAATATTACATATCTACAACTATAGTCTACATATTTAAATCCAAGAGTCACCACTCCCAAACAATGTTTGTCCAATGATTAGCTTGTGATCCCCCTGCATTGCGCCCAGTAATTGGTTCTGTTGTCACGAGGCATGACTTTCTGCAGCAGTTTGAACAAGTGCTAGCGACGTTCCTATGTGCACTAAGCCACGCCCAGGCGTGTGCATTTGTTTACTCACAGTGACTGGTGTATGCACGCCTTTACTTGACCAAGCGTGTCAAACTCAAAGGCTAACACAGGCCAAATAAACAAGGCACGTGGCCCGTGGGCCGTGAGTTTGACATGCTTGTAACAGACACTCAGTGTAAATTTTAAATTACAGTGATACATATAGAAAACTTTTCTGTGAAATTAAACTTTTCATACATACTTAATTACACAAACGTCTACATAAGTAAAAACAGGTAAACTAATTTGTCAATTTTTTAACATGCATGTGGAAAACCTGCTTTATTATATAATGGACTTTTGGCTTTAATGGACACCTCCTCACCCAAATTAGTCCATTATACCGAGGTTTTACTGTACTGTAGAGTTGCTAAAGGATAGTAGAAGCTCTCCCTTACTTTCACAGTTGGCATTATTCTGGGCTAATTTTGCATAATCTTACATGAAATACATATGCCAGAACCTAAATAACCTATCACAGCCATAGATTTCAGATGACCTTTTGTTTCTCTTACCCCTAAAAAAATTATTAGGAATAGACTACATATTGAGCTAATAAAAAAAGTGATTTTTTGACACAAATTAGTCCATTATACCGAGGTTTTACTGTACTGTAGAGTTGCTAAA